TGTTTGTGTGGGATCTGGTCTGGTATATTTATGACCCTTTTTTCTCAATGGCAAGCTATGATTCAACATCATCTGAAGTTACATCAACTCATAGTACAGCTGGTATGGGGGGTGAAAACATGATGTTTCCCATGCCAATTACCCCTTTAAATGGCCTAAACTACCTAGAGTGGGCTAAAAGTGTGAAACTTTATGTAACAGCAAGGGAAAAAGCTGGTTACATAAATGGCAGAGTGGAAGAACCCAAGTGTGAGACAGCTAAACATGATAGGTGGGACCATGAAAACAGTATGGTGATGTCTTGGCTCCTTGCAGCCATAGAACCCGAGGCGAAGAACTTTATGTGGGCAGACACCGCTAGTGAGATTTGGGAACAGGCCAAAACCACCTATTCTGAGCAAAGGCATTATGCCAAAATTTACTAGTTGCAAGTTGAATCCTCAACCTGCAAACAGGGAAATCGTAGTTTGTTTGCCTATTATTCAGCCCTTATTTCCGTATGGAAAGAATTGGATCACTATCAGGCTATAGAGTGGAAACATGATGATGATGCTAAGGCCTATAAGAAGCTGGTTTCTTAGCCGCAAGTGTTTGCTTTTTTTTTGGGACTAAACCCTGCTTATGAACCCTTGAGAGTTCAGATCGTAGGAAGCAAAGAGTTGCCTTCGGTTCAAGAGGTATATGCCCTTGTTCAATCTGAAGAAAGTAGGCGGAGTGTGATGGTTACAACTGAGGGGGAGCAACAGGTAGCTTTGACTACAATGGGTAATAAAAATATGAGGAAGAAAAGTGACTCCAAAAAGGCTGATGATAAAGACAAGTTATTTTGTACCCAGTGTTGGCGCTCGTGACATACATGTGACACATGTTGGGAAATTCACGGGAAGCCCAAGTGGGCAGTGAAGAACCAAGAACAGGGTAAAGTGCAAGGTCAGAAGAAGCCGAATACAACACATAATGCAGCACATGTGGCAACCCAAGATACTTGTGCTGTTGGTACTACCCGAGATCACTTTACTAGTTCTAACCCCAAGGAAGATATCATGAATTCCTTCAGAGATCACTTAGAGTCATATGGTAGGGCTTTGCAACAGATGGATAGTTCAGTTACTGGTACTCCTTCATTTGCATCTATTTCAGGTAATGCAGCTTCTGCATTCCATGTCACCACTACCACTGATTCCCCTTGGATCATTGACTCAAGGGCCTCTAACCACATGACCAGTAAGCCAAATTTGTTTTAGACTTATAGTCTTTTGTCAGGAAGGGATAAAGTGAGGCTTGCAGATGGATCATTCTCCTCCATTGCAGGCCAAGGATCAATATCCCTTCCCCATGGCCTTAACCTAAATAGTGTGTTGCATGTTCCCCAACTTCCTATAAATTTGCTTTCAATCAGTAGCATCACAATCTCTTTAAACTATAGTGTAACCTATTTTCCTGGTTCATGTGTTTTATAGGATCTAACTTCTAGGAAGACGATTGGTAGTGGAAGCCTAATGGATGGTCTCTATATTCTTAACAACAAAGTTGGTCTCTCGGTGTCGTCCTTGGAGTCATATAGTCAGTCAAATAAGAGTCAAATTTTTTTTGTGGCATAGTTGGTTAGGTCATGTTTCTTTTGAAATAGTGAAATCTTTGTTTCCGTTTTTATTTAAGTCATGTTCAGTGTCAAACATGTCAGTTGAGCAAACAATGTAGAACAACTTTTCATTCAAGTAATAAAAGATCTTATTTTCCTTTTTATATTGTGTATTCTGATGTATGGGGGCCTACTACTATAATCTCTGAGGGCGGGTATAAGTACTCTATCACTTCGACCGATGATTTCTCCCGCTATACATGGGTATTCCTGATGCATAGTAGATGAAGTTCCAAAGATCGTGCAAGACTTCCAGCAAATGGTATTTACGCAGTTCCATGTTGAAAAACAGATCTTTCAATCAGACAATGCCAAGGAATACTTCCACAATGAACTTAATGAGTTCTTTGCCTCCCATGGATCTATTCATAGAAGCTCATGCGCAAGAACACCGCAACAAAATGGTGTTGCCGAAAGAAAAAACAGACACCTTGAGGTAGCTCGAGGGATGATGTTGCACATGAATGTTTCAAAAAGGTTTTGGGTGGATGCTATAATTGCAGCTACTTATGTCATCAATTGCATGCCCTCTAGAGTGTTGAACTACATGGCCCTTCATCAGTTGTTATTCCCTCATTCAACTCTATTTTCCATTCCCATGAGAGTCTTTGGCTGTCATGCTTTTGTCCATGATTTGTCTCCGTCTCGAGGAAAGTTAGACCCTCGGTCCATTCCTTGTATCTTTCTAGGGTATCCTTCCTCTCAAAAGGGATATCGGTGCTTTGACCCCGTTAGTCATAAATTTTTTGTCTTTATGGATGTGTCCTTTGAGTCTGAACTGTTCTTCCCTACTCCTCAGGGGGAGAGTAGTGTGGAAGAGGAGAAGCAGGTTCAGATCCGCCAAGTCTCTCTTCCTTCTATTCTGGACCTGACCCCCTTCCGTGTCTTCCAATGTATACACCGTAGAGATCAGCAATGTGATAGAGATGTGGAGCTACCAAACATTGAGCATCTTACACTGTCAAACTCCTAGGAGGTAATTCCAAACCCTACTATACCTATTGACAGCCCTGCTCCTACTATGGATGACCTTGACATTCCTACTGCTCAAAGAAAGGGAGTCAGGTCATGCACTACCAAACATCCCATCACCCAATATGTCTCGTATGATCACATTTTCCTCTCATATTGAGCCTTCCTATCTGTAGTTGATTGCATCCCTGTACCCAGAAATGTTGTAGAAGCCTTAAAATACCCTAAGTGGGCAGATGCTATGAAGGAGGAGATTAATGCCTTCCATAAAAACCAAACTTGGGAATTGGTGGATCTTCCAAGGGGGAAAGACCCAGTGGGGTGTAAGTGGGTGTTTACAGTTAAACATAAGGTGGACGGGACAGTTGAAAGGTATAAAGCAAGATTAGTAGCCAAGGGGTATACTCAAGTGTATGGAGTTAACTATGATGAGACATTTGCTCCAGTAGCTAAGATGAACTCAATTCGAGTTCTTCTATCATTAGCTACTAATCTTGATTGGGAATTGCATCAACTAGACATTAAGAATGTCTTTTTAAATGATGACTTAGAGGAGGTGTACATGGTTCAACCCTCGGGATTCTGTGCCAAGGAAAGTGAGAATAAAGTGTGTAAGCTAAGAAAGTATCTCTATGGTTTGAAACAATCTCCTAGGGCTTGGTTCAGTAAGTTTCATATGGCAGTTCAGCAAGTAGGGCTCAAGCAATGCCAGTCCGATCAGACACTCTTTGTGAAGAGATGTCAGGAACATGTTGCTGTTTTGATTGTGTATGTGGATGATATCATCATCGTAGGAAATTGGAGTTCAAAAATACAACAGTTGAAACAATTCCTTGCATCTAAATTTGAAGTGAAAGATCTACGTCCTCTAAAGTATTTTCTTGGAATTGAAGTTGCCCACTCAAAAAGGAGTATCTTCATTTCTCAAAGGAATTACACTCTTGATATGTTACAAGACACAGGCAAGTTAGGTGCAAGACCAGCAGATACTCCTATGGATGTTGATCATAAATTGGGTAACTGTGATGGTGAATCTCTGAGAAATGTAAAACAGTTCCAAAGGTTAGTGGGGAAGTCAATTTATTTGTCCATGACTCATCCAGACATTGCATATTCAGTTGGGGTCCTAAGCCAATTCATGCACTCTCCTAAGAAACCTCATTTGGAGGCAGTAGAAAGAGTTCTTAGATACTTAAAAAATTATTCAGGAATAGGTCTACCATTCAGTAAGAATAATCATCTAAAGGTGAGAGTTTTTACAGATGTTGATTGGACAGGTGCTGTGGATGACAAAAAGTCCACAAGTGGGTATTGCACATTTGTGGGAGGAAACCTAGTGACCTGGAAAAGCAAGAAACAAAGTGTGGTAGCAAGGTTAAGTGCTGAAGCGGAGTATAGAGGCTGAAGTTCTTTGGCTAAAAAATCTTATAGGGGAGCTTGGAGTTGCTATTCATAACCCCATGTTTCTTTACTGTGACAACAAGGCAGCCATTAACATCACCAACAATCCTGTCCTACATGAGAGGACCAAGCACATTGAAGTGGACAAACACTTCATAAGAGAAAAATTGGAAAAAAGGGAAATTTGCATCCCTTATGTCAACTCCAAGGAACAATTTGCTGATGTCCTCACAAAAGGATTTCCATACTTGCGATAGAATGAGTTGTGTAACAAGTTGGCATGATAAACATATACAGCCCAACTTGAGGGGGAGTGTTGTGAAACTTGTTTATTGGTTTGCTGTTAATATGCTGTTAGTATGCTGTTAGTCTAGTCATCCTAGGTGCTGTCAGCTAGTTTTTCCTTTCTTTCTTTTTCTGTTATTTGTTTATTATTAGGAATTGCCACCAGGGGCATTCTTGTAATTTCTGATATTATTTTAAGAGAATATAAATAGTAAGCTGGTAGGAGCCGGCCCACGTCTTTGGTTCTCAATCGAACCTCTCTCTTTCTTCTCTTCTCTCTCTCTCGTATTTCTCTCAGGAAAGAACACACTGCCAAAAACACAACCACAGAATTTATTGGTTATTTTGAGTGCATGCATAGTTACATGGAAACCACTACTTAGAGTAGAAAGTAAGAACGCTTGGAAATGATGTAGAAAGTGGAAATATAATTTTCATCGTGGAAATAAAATATATCCAAGCAACTATTTTCCATCTTTCAGTGCTAGTCAGTTATGCACATTTTAGACAACATTGGACTGAGGGGCTTCTCATTACCATTCTACAAAGCTGCACACCTTCTGTGACTATTCTTTTGGTAGAATTTTATACATCTGACAGCATTCTATGTTTTTTGCTTAAGATTTCATGTATATTTGCTTTTAATAAATATAATATACTTTCAATTTCTATACTAAAATGGACTCTGCTTTTGGTATAGGCTGATGAACACGAGTCAAGGACACTTGATGCCATAAAAGAAGAGGAACCAGAATTTTTCATGCGGATAACATCTGTACTGAAGCGAGCTGAAATAGAGTACGATTTATAAGTGGAACTTTCATTCACCAATCAAATGGGAACAGATTAAGTTTCAACTTCTTTGTGACATGAATCAACTATCAATGGGTTTACAGGCCTTTGCAGTAGGCCTTTAGGACTTCCCATTTCTTGTGTTTCTTGATTTTTTATTTTTTTTCAATGTAAGGATTTTCTTTGAGTTGTCTTTTTGCATGGCCTTGCTTTTGGGGCCATAAATTTTGTACCATATTTCTAGTCTAGCACTTTCTGTTGCAACAGAAATTTTGTTCTGTTTATTGGGAGAGCCCTAAACTTTTCTAATTGCAGAGCTGGTGACCTTTTCAATATTGTTCCAGTTCATTGGAATTTATTAGTATTAGATTCATTCAAGCCAAAAAATATAACTAGAGTTGTAGGCTCATAGGCAATATACCAATCACATAAGACTCCATTTGTTTGCCGAGCAATTTTATTTGAACTATAATGAGAAAAATGCAAATTCTGGTTCAATTTTGTTTTGGGTTTTACTTTACATTTCTTCAGGTTCAGGTTTTATTTTAGTTCATCTGCACTGCAAACAAAATAAGGCAGTTAAGGACTTAAGGCAGAAGTTAGATAAAAATAAATTAGCATTTGCACTCTCACAATTTTGCACCAGTGCAAATGAAATTGCACTACAAACAAACCAGGCCTAGAGTACACATTGTAATATATTAATATTTCAAAAATGCCAAGATTGGTTTGGGCGTGATCGGGACTCAGTTCAGGGCAATATAGCTGAAATTTAAGCTCACGTTTGGTAAAAAAGAACCTAGTTGGCTCATCACATTTACACCTTATATGATATTTAACATTGAACACTACCATCCATACACACTAAGGTACTGTTGGATAGACTTCTACTTTTGTATTTTTAATAGTATCAAAGTATAAAGCAATGCTCAAAGTATCATTACGTATTGGCCTGTATCGGCTGATATGTATCATTCTGGGACCCTTCCCATATGCCCCTACAGTGGGTGTATCGGGGGTCTGACCGGTTCAGAGGATGGAGGGATCTTAGACTGGCTCCCCTGAACCAGTTTTGAAAAAAATAAATAAAAAAAGGTAATAGAATGAGTATCAAAACGCCCGAGCGTATTGATATTTTGAACCTTGGTATAAAGTACATAAAATGCTTTTATTTTGGTATTTTTGTTTTGAAACCGTTTGTGTAAAAAATTTTGTAAAATGTGCTTTTAAAAACAAAGCAACCATTTCCTGTTTGGTAAAAGCACTCCATTCATTCTTCCAATGACAGTTTCCAGTGGTTTGGTGGCTGAGACCGACGACGGCGGTCTAATTCCAATAGCAGCGAGCAGAGATAGGGCCGAGAGTTGTATCGAAGGGTATGATCACCCTCCAAAGTATGATCACCATCCAAATCCCAATCTCTCTCTCTCTCTCTGTATTTCATTATTCTTCATCTCAATAATGACCGACCTGAGGTCCCCAAACAGGCAAAGAAAGATTCCCACATTCCCTCATCTCCACCTCTACAGACACAGACAAGGCAAAAAATAAGTAAAAAAGCTAAACATGTGCAAAATGTGAAATGTGATGTGGGGGATGCTTTAAAATTTAAATCAGGGCAGAGAACTGTGCATTTTGCATGATTGATAGCCATGATCATCAGTTTGGATCATCTAAGGATTTTGGGGCCAATCTGCTAGAAAACAAAATCCATGTTGTCCCTTCAGTTGAATTCAAAATATCTATCTCGTGGAACATTGGTTATTAATTAAGTGGGTGTTTTAAAACGTGAATGATTTTGTTTTCATTTGTTTTCGAAATTGTCACATCAGTATATATATGATTAAAGATTTAAATGGTGTTTTTGTTTTGAAAAGCAAAAACAGATTGGTTTTATTGCAGGAAATAATACATGTTTTTGAAACCATAAAAATTAATGGCGGTTTTTAAAACAAAAAAACAAATTTTAAGGTACAGACGACAATCTATGATTTATTATGAAAGATGATGAAAGATATTATGACTTAAAACAAGAACATGCTTTTTCAAACCAAAAGGTCAAGAACAGTTTTTTTTTTTCAGTTTTTAAAACAAAAGGCATACATACAACCAAGAACATGTCTTCCATGGTTTTGTTTTAAGAACGAATTTGTTTTCAAATCTGACGCATGGTTTTAATTCATCTTTGAAATTCATAACAAAATAAACAGTACTTTAAATTGAAAGTCTTTCAAAGATATAATACCGAAAAAACTTACAACCAACCAACCGGCATCATACAAGTAGTAACCAATTAGGTGGGTTTTCATCAATTTCACGGAGGTACCTAAAAATCATCTGAACTGTGGATAATTTGATCTATTGCCAAGAGAAAAGAAGGACTAAATCTAGATTGATAACCATGAACACATCATATTGTGAGATGACACTGAAAGCTTAGCTTTAGTTAGTGGCTGAATGCATGGCGTGGGCTGGTAGTTGTGGTGCCTCTGATGCAACATCCCACTCAAATTTCTATTATTCTTACGTGTGCTACTGGCTACTAACCACCACTAACAAACTGGACCCCATCCCACTACCACATGATTATTTCCATCTTTTCTTTTTTCTTTGTGTTTGTGGTTAAAACTAAAGATTATTTCTATCTGATCAAGTGCGTTCTTCATCTCCAGAAGGATGAGATGTGACACTCCAACCCACTCGTCATGCATTTGGATTGCATGGAATCAGTTCAAGTGCGACGATTAGGTTCACCAAACAACGAACCATCTCTTCTATTTTATTTATCCATTTGTTTGTTTGTTTGCTTATGGAATTAATGGGGGAGCAGGTAGTGTCAACTTGCAAGAAAACTTTTCTAATCAGAAGGCTTTCTTCTAAAGATTATGATTCTCAAAGCTTCCAAGAGATGTGGGAACACTCACATATCATGATCTCTCTCTCTCTCATATATCCAAATCTTTTGGCTAATAATGGAGTGTGGTGGGTCCTTAAAAAGATAAGCGTCACAGGATTTTTTTTTAAGGAAAGGAGAATGAAATTGGGTTTTGGGTTCTGATTTAAATTCTCATTAGCAGTGCTGGAATGAAGGGGGCAAAGTAGATCAATTAAGAGGTGACCTCTACATAAATGATCAGACAAATAATTAAGTTAAAACAAAGCAAGGATTAAGACAAAAAGGTTAAGAGAAACCAAGTTAGGGAACTCCCTTTACAGCAACATACACCATACAAACAGATAGTACGTGGAGGTTTCCTTTTCCTTAGCTTTGTGGTGTAAAGTATAAAGGGAGAAAAGAGAAAAAAGGATAAGGATGTTTTCATTTGAAGGTTCAACTTTTTAACCCACTAAAAAAATCCAATAAGGTACATCTATTAGATGACTCTCCTGCCTAAGATGATTCACCTGAACTCATTCTGCAACAATTTTTAGATTTAACATCAATTTATGTAATTCTTTATGTTTAATCCCAATTTATATGTTTATTATGGTAGATTAATGTGATATATATTCAAAGTATCGATACATTCAATACTGATTTTTCGTTTATATCAATCATGTCAATTACGCTGCATTTGATTGTATGCAAATTTATTTGTATTAGTACAAATGTAAAAAATGTGAGTTCTTATTTAATTCTGTTTTGGATTTTACTTTATTATATTTTATGTCTTAATTTACTTCATTTGTATTGTAATCAAACAAAATAAGTTAAAATTTAAAACAAAAATAAATCAAAATTTACACTCAAATCATTTACACTGTTATGGTTTTGCATCAATACAAATTTATTCGCATTGCAACCAAATACAGCCTTAATTGCAAAAGAAGACATCAAGGAAGGTATTGACATTTAAAAACATTCATTAACTCTAATTCCTTATGTTCTATGTCTTGATAACCTTAAAAATTGATACAATTGAACCATATACATTAATGAATACATACATATCATATATATATATAATACTATAAGTTGTCGATTTATCGATTTCTAAAGCGAATTGCCAACCTCATATAAATGGGATAAGGGTTAGATGATAATAAAAATGATCTTTAAAGCAGATACCCCACTTTCATGAGAGGATATATAAAGCATATATACCTTTTTTATTATCTATTCACTATTAATACTATGTTATGCATGTACCTTCAAGCTTGTATAAATTAGGAAGTAAATGAAATAATCATACATATATCGACAACTTACTAGAATATTTGGTGATTTGAGAAAATCTTTATAATAAATTGCCACTTCAGCGTCGAAGATTAAGTTTGTTTTATTTATATGACAACTAGATAAGCAAATCATTCTTCAAACAAACCTTTGGTTCTCCAGGTTTGAGAGTCTGTGCCATAATCTACAGGCTCTTTCTATGTGACACTTTATTTATGTTGCATAGAGTTCATATGGACTTTACGTGTCACACATGGAGAGGTTATTTTATTTGATTCTTCAATCTACAAGTGGAAATTTATTGGATCTTTGGTAACAACCAGCCAGCTAGAGATTTAAGATATATGACAGATACTATCAACCTGCCAATAGATGTTGATGTCCAATTGAGAGATTGATTGTACCCATCAAAAGAAATTTGAGAAAATGATAGATCTGATTGATCCCAAATAAGGCATCTCTCTCCCCAACCTCAATTCATTGCCACTAGCTCCATAGCAAAATTCAATTCTGAACATAGCTCATATTCCATAAGCAAACCTAGAGAGGCTGAACCGAGACTTAAATGTTGAGCAACCTAGCTACCAATAAGCTGTAACTGATAAACAATTAATACACATGCAAAAGGATAGGGACAGTGCATACGTCAAGTTGCTAATACACGCATACATACATATATACATTTATGCATATGTACATAGATACCTATAATAATATATAATTTGTCAATCTTTAAAGTGGATTGTGGATACCTCACTTTCATGAGAGGCTATACATACCTTTTTGTCATCTATCCACTATTAATACCATGTGCAATGTATGTATACTTTCCCTCTTGTATATTAAGAAGTAAATGAAGTAGAGGCTAATAACACTTTATTAAAATATTGGGAGAATGACTGTTCAGCCCACCTTAGAATTCTCAACCCTACCGTACAGGTGGGATGAGTCCTGATCATGGATTGATGTTAAATCCACAATTAGGATATAATTCATGGGGGGCTACTAGTAGACTATGGGGGACTGTAATTTCAGAATTCTGTAGTAGGGTGCAGTGTACTTTTTCGTAAAATATTTAGTGTTAAACGTAAACCTTTATGATAAGGTGTCTCTTTAGCCTCAAATATTAAGGGCATGTTTGAAAGTGCTTAAGTTAAAAATAAATGCTTAAAAACAAGT